TTCAGCTATACCAGCAAATGGAAAGCACCGCAGAACTCCCAACCCAGCAACAGATGCATCTTGTGGTTGGATTTGACCTAGAGGCCTCCACACCAATGCAAGTGACCAAGCAGGCTGTTGAGGCCTATCGTGATCTTCAAGCGCCCTGGGCCTGAGAGTCAATCCCAAAGAGACCGCCTTTGTGGCTACGGACAAGAGCACAGATCAAGCCCTGCAAAGCCTCCTCACTGATCAGGAACCACCGGTCACCTCGGTGATGAGAGACCTTGGCATTGACCATCAAGCAGCACGACGCCGAAGAATCCCTGTTCTACGACAAAGGTTCCAGAAAGCAAAACAGAGGAAGATGCGTCTCAGAACCTTGAAGGTCAGGTTGAGACTACACAAAGGTGGCGTACAACCTGTGGCACTTTGGTGCTTAGAAGCACAAGGATTGGCACCCAGATACCGCACCACCTTGCGGCAAGCAATGGCCACCCAATTGGGGCATCATGCTGGAGGACTGCTGGACCCACACACGATTTGCACAGTAACAAATACATTGCTCCAGCTGATCAAGTCTTGGTGCATCACATCCGAGCCATGCATCAGCTATATCACACACATGGCCTCAGGATCAACACCAGCATCTTGAGCAAGCTTGGACAGCAATCTACACCCAGCTCCAGGAAAAGCAGCACCCATAATACACAGTCAAGGGCCCCATGGCTGCCACCATAGCCTACATGCTGGAGTGGAACTGGCAGGTAGCCAGCATAAACCGATGGACAAGAGAAGCAACCGCACTGCTTCTGGAAAATGAACTCTCCCTGCAAGACCGATGGTGGAAGGTTGAACGCACCTTGCTTCTCGAGGCCCGCCACCAAAGAACAGCTCGAATGGCACAAAAGCCACATCACCAACACCTGATCATAGGTTTGGGCTGGCACCCCTACCGCCAGATGATCCGCAGTCTCCCAGCCGAGCTGAACATGGGTACAAGCAGCCATCCACTATAGAGAGGCGGGACAGCCCAAGCAGTGTCCCATCTGCCAGGTGCCTGCCAGTCCAAATGGCACCAGGGACAGCAACACAAGCTGTGGCCTTAGAGTGCACCAGGCCCTCACTGTGCCAGTCGCCAGTCATTGAAGAGCGCCTTCAACACCCACACAAGGCACTTCCCAAGAAGCTGACCAGGATCCAGGTCAGCAACAACAGGCGGCTCCACCCCAGCCAAAGCAGCACTGGCTGGAAGAAACCAAAGGGTATCTTCGCTGTGACAAATGCGGATGCGGTCAATGAGGGTGCTTTCCAGGCCTTTGTGAACAGCCCTTGCCTGGACCAGGCCTATGACCAACCCCATGAAGCCCGTCCTAGCCACCTTGTTTGGCAAAAAGGGGAGAAGGACTCACTCTACACCTCGACGCCCAGCCATCCGCAAGGCCTGCAAGGGAGCTGCTACAAGTGGACAGCCTGACACCAAGGCTGATGACAAGTGCACAGGACGCCAACAGGCAGGCGGATCAGACAGCCCAGTCTCGAGCTCCACACAAGCAAGTCACACCACTGTTTCGAGCACAGCCACTGCAGCAGGAGGACCCACTCCTCACAGATTGCACTTTGATACTGAACTTGATCGGAGTGCATTCGAAGGCCAACCACCCACATCTGCCCAGGCCATGACACCCAGCCACACGGCAGAACCCGCACCTGACATGACCAATGACAGCAGGCCCGCGCAGGAAGAACAGAACGAAGAAGAGATGCTAGAAACAGATGAAGTCTTGGTGGACTACTTCTAAGAAGACCACTGCAGCACGAGCGCGATGCCAGCTGCTGATGCTGCCGCACGGGCCAAAAGGGCCATGGAGACTGCAAGAAAAGAACCCGTAGGAAAAACACATACATACATACCTACTTGCATACATACATGCTTACTTGCTTACATACATACACGCCATACCATACCATACCATACTATTGCGTGACATTACAATGCAAGGCATTACATTACATTACATTACGTTACAGTCATACATTAATACATTACATACAGTACATGTATTCCATAAAGTCCATTCATTCCAAACATTCATACATTATATACATAGATTACGTACATTACGCGCACTACATACATTACATACGTTAGATTTTTGCAAACCATACACACCATACATATACAATACAATCCAATCATATCCAATCCAGTCCAACCCAACCCACTCCAATACTATACAAAAACATACCATACAATACCATACATACACGCGCAAACGTTACTGCAGAACTGGGCAAGCAATGCCGAAGATTGTGGGGATGTCTCACAGGAATAGATCCTATGACAGCAACAACCTAGAAGTCCTTTAGTAGTTTGCAGGGTGCGGCTACAGACAAACATCACTAACGCACTCAGGCGTGTGTCAGATGGCGGTGGCAATTGAGCTGGAGCTGCACAGATAGTACATTGAAACAGTCCGTCCTTGCAGAACTTCAGCTGTTGAAGAAGCATTAATGATGGATCCAGCAAAAGCTTCAAGAAGGGGGTCGGGGATTGTGTATATAATACCATATGTCAAAAGCGACTTTCAGTCACAAGAACACCACGGTTTCTCATGCAAAAAACGTCATGGTGGCAAAGAGCAAGGGTGACCTGAGCATAAAGCAGGTGATGTGTTCCCCAATCATTCGCGAGGCGAGCTTTAAGATATCGGCATACACCCCAGATAGCGGGTGTATAGGTTTTAAGGACACGCCGCGGACGGCTGTCACCGCAGCAAGCAACATCAAACCAGTCCACCAATATGCGCAACATCTATCAGCTGAATGTGCCCGCTTTGCTCAACACAAGCGAACAGTTGCAACACCGGCAAGGACCGGCCAAAGCTGCAGACAACATGATGATCGTCGCAGCGCATCCCGGTGTCACGCTCAAATGACAGCGTGCAATCCCTGGCGTGGCATGATGTCGTCCCTGGCATGGCATGATGTCATCTTTTGGCTTGACATGATGTCATCCCTGGCGTGACATGATGACATCCCTGGCGTGACACGACGTCATCCCTGCACATGACATGATGCCTTTCTGGGCATGACATGATGTATTGTATCATGATGTCACCCCTGGCATGACATGATGCCATCCCTGGCGTGACATCATGTCATCCCTGGCGTGACACGACGTCATCCCTGCACATGACATGATGCCTTTCTGGGCATGACATGATGTATTGTATCATGATGTCACCCCTGGCATGACATGATGTCATCCCTGTCAAGACGCGATGTCATCCCTGGCATGACGCAAAATGAAACGTCGATCCAGAGCCAGCGCCTGCACCAGCACAGCACCGGCGAAACCAAGCGCCGATCCAGCACCAGCACCAGCACGGCTGCAGCACCGGCAAACCAAAATGCCGATCCACAGCCAGCACCTCCACCTGCACCAGCATCAGCACGGCAGCAGCGAATGCAAAACCAAAACGCCAATTCAGAGCTAGCACCTGCACCTGCACCAGCATGAGCATGGAAGCAGCACCTGCACCTGCACCAGCATCAGCACGGCAGCAGAACCCGCAAAACCAAAACACCGATCCACAGCCAGCACCTGCACCTGCACCAGCACGGCAGCAGCACCGCACAAGCAAAACGCCGAGACACGGCCAGCACCTGCACCTGCACCAGCATCAGCACGGCAGCAGCACCTGCAAAACCAAAACGCCGATCCACAGCCAGCACCTGCACCTGCACCAGCATCAGCACGGCAGCAGCACCTGCAAAACCAAAACGCCGATCCAGAGCCAGCACCTACACCTGCATCAGCACGGCAGCAGCACCCGCAAAACCAAAACGCCGATCCAGAGCGCCACACCATTGAAGAGTTAGAATTAGAACCCCTATAGCCTGCAGTTATCTGGGGAAATTATGAAACGTGTGCACAATTGTTCTTGTGAATGCCCTGTGGAAGTTTGGCCAGCTGAGGTAGGCCCGGATGTTGTGGGTCCCAAGAACAAAACAATCACAGAGATAATTGCTCCAAGGTTTTTTCACCACATAGGCAAATGTGCACCGTCGAAGAGTCAGTGCTCCAGTTCCAAGACCCTAAATCCCTAAGCCATGATATTTGGATCTGGCGCAGGTCTAGGAGCAATGCATTTGCTGGTGGATCCTGGAAACAGAATCATCCACTTCTGTACAGCGGATGACTCCGCAACAGTCAGCTGATCGATCGTCTGATCGTGTCACCGAACAGCTCACAGCTGACATGGTCAAGAGAGAATCGGGTCCCTATAGTCTGAGCCAGCCTGAGATTGCAGTTTGCTAGTAATCCCATCATCAGTTCTGTAGTGCATGACATTAGCATTAGCGGCATATGAAGCGTTGGCGAGCATGGCTTGGGAAAGGGGATTTGATTTGAACAAACGTGTGATTGCTGCAGGTCCCCAACGCTTTCCTGAGTGAAAGCACACATGAAAACACGGTGTTAGGAAAGTGCGACCCCCTACAAAACGATGGCTAGGGTGCTTCTCTTTCTCTTCAAGTATGCGAAGAACCGACCAAAGGGAAAATGATTGGCGTCGTCTCCCTTTCATTCCCATGTTCCGAGATGTGATGGGATCAAGAAGCTTTGGTCTCAAAATGAGGAGATACCACCTAATCTGTGCGGAAGCAGGAAAGGTAGACTGCCAATGTTCAATGCTCCTCAACTTGTATCAAGTTTGCTTACTGCATGGGGGAACATCACATGAACCAAGTGCAGTGGAATGCCCCAGTTCATGACTTGTGAGAATCGATCCGCACGTTGCACTTCGTGGCTGATCCAGAGGCTGGCGATCCTCATTTTGAGACACATCTAAGATCTACGAGGCTTTGCTTCCTTCATGACCATGGGAGCATACCCGTGTCTGTCACAGAAATTTTGTTCTTGACCCCACCGTAACTCGCAAAGATGCTGGAGTGAACTGATTTGAAATGCAGCAACGCAATTGATCTCCTTGAAGTCTGGGGAAACATTTCACTTTGGAGAACTGTCTAAAAGTTGCAAAATAGAGCCGCCTCAAACTACGCGACGACCTTGTCTTAGGTCCGATTGTCTAAAATCTCTTCAAAAGTTTTCGCCCACGTGGCTACAAGTCAACATGCCATGGGTGTGTCCCGTCTAGCAGCATGTGGCTTGGTGACCTGAGGCTGATATTTGCCACAAGCCAAGGCCTGGAACAAGAGCTGCAGCTCCTACACAAGCCTTTGCTAGCCAACGAAGGCAGGTGTCAAAGGGCTACGACGGGAGCAGCATCTTGACAAAGCCTTTGCCACCTTTGGCCTTAGAGTTGCTACATCGAATCGACTCTACCAGTGCTCTTGACTTGGTCATCAATGCATAAAATTCTTGAGCTAAGTTCAGAACCGATCCTTTCAATACCCTGAGGCACAGCTGGCAAATGTCTCATGCTGGTTGCGGGGAGCAACACTTCATCTTCGAGACTACATCATCACATTCACTCCGTAGTGTTGCGCTAAAGGATCTTTGCGCTGTATCCTGGGGATGTTGAGCCTGCAAATATATAGAGTAGCATACGCTGAGGAAAGCCAGGTACCCCTGCTCAAGATCCAGTCCCCAGCTCACTCGTCTTCAACCTCTCCTCTTCACCCACACATATATAGCGCTTCCTTTTGATTGTTTCTCTCGACAATTTATTTCGACAATTCTTTCGACACTTCATCCTGAATGTGGCACTTTTCGCGCACTGCTTTGGATGGCTTGCCGACACGGCCTTTGTCGTGCCACTACTCTGGCTCTTTTGTCGAATCTGTTGATAGATTACTCAGCATTTTGTAGCCCAGTTGGCACTGGGCATGGCGCTGAACCGGTGCCATCGCTGGTCCAAATGATTCTAATGGACACTGTAATTTCCAACAGGCTCAAATGGTCTGACTTCGATAGCCCCTTAGTGAGCGGATGTGACAGAGACGATCATACTCGGTAGAGTCCCTTTTTGTCGATTGTGCGCCATGCGTTGGCCACCATTTGCGTTGATAGGATATACATAGGCCTAAGCTGAAACTTCCGCTTGAAACTGGCAGATCTCTAGTCGCTGTCTCTGGGGACAGGAACATTCAAAGCGAATGTATGCTTGGGTGTGAAATACATATTGGACCCCCTACAACACCTCCGTAGACCCTCCCTTAAGCAGACCAAGACCTTGCTTTCAATTTCTTTCTGTTTGTTCCAGCCATAAGAACGCTCAACAGCACACATTCAGTCCCTTGCAGCTCTTGCTTCAGCGGATTCTGATTCGGATCCCTCCTGAAAAATCGCACATCCCATCTACCCGCACCTCGTCTTTGTTCTCAAATCTTCAAGTGATGCTTCGATGCATAGCGAGTCCACCCTGCAAGTCAAATCTCGAAGAACAATGTGAGCAAATTGCCTTGTACACTGACCGAAAAGGTCGCTCCAAATGGGTGCACGCAAGCTTGCTTCCCAAATCTTGAGGCATTGAGTAGCACTGTCCTAGCCTTTCTTGTGCAACCTGCACGTACATCATCTATCATTCGCCGGAGCTGAGCAAGGCACGGCATAGATGGCAATGTGTGCAAAGGTCTCCATCTTTACAACCACGAGACTTTTGAACCTCATTCACAAAGCGCAAGCAAGCGTCATGCTGGCTGCTAGCCAATGAAGTAGGGTATTGGTATCTGTCAGAATCTATATCATTGAGAGATGCTACCAATTCTCTGCAATCCGCGACTTTGTGAATCCTTTTGATCGTGCAAACAGGTTGAGGCCGCCCTCTCCACACACTGTATGAACCGCGATCAGTTGGATAATGCATACCGCGGTCAGTGTGATTGTCGTCTGGATTCTCGATTGTCCTTCATTCAACTTGTCAGTAGAGTAATGGAGGTAGAAAGCTTCAAGGCCTAAGGCGGCCTAAGGCCTTCATTTAATCACGACAACAGGATACAGCAGATTATTGCTCTTGAGACTCTAGCATCATCCCGTTCCAACATATCAGCTCCGTACCGTGCTAACTCAGACTTTGGTTGAACTGTTTTTGTTCAATGGAATTCTGCTGCCTAGGGGCATATTTGCACGCGGGGCCACAGCCTCAAGCCACATCACATGGGGGCTGCGTATCAGCAAAACGTGTTTGGATAAATGATTGATCACCCATCCTAAGAACCTAGATTCTAGATGGAGGCCACCGCTTCTAGGTTAGGTTGGAGGCCATCGCTATTAGGGGGAGGCCATCGCTATGAGGTTGCAGCCATCGCTTCTAGCTTGGAGATCATCGCTATTAGGTTCGAGGCCATGGCTCCTAGGTTGGAGGCCATCGGTATTAGGTTGGATTCTAGATCCTAACCTTTCAATCTGTGAGGAGCTCCCTGCACCCGTGATCTGTGTCCTTGCTGGTTTGAGACCACTTTATATATATATATATACAAATACATATATATATAGAGAGAGAGAGACTGAAGTGAAAGGAAGAAGCGGAAGGCTAGTGACTGGTGGTCTGCCGAAGCTTGTCCGAGACCGGTTTAGAGAAAACAGAAAAGGACCATCGAGGGCAAGACTGAGGAGTGTTCTAGGGAAGCTTGTGTTTCCGAGCCTTAAAAGCCAGACCGAGCGGAAGAGCCCTGCAAGACAAGACAAGATCTTTCATGGCCTCCAACCTAATAGCGATATAAGATCCTTTCTGTTTGCTGGTGATTCAAGATATATTGTTTCTCGATCCGCACATCCAATCTCCACCAGATTCTACACCCGATCTGCCATACCATGGCCATATGCCATTGTGGAGGGCTTCTTTGCAAGCCATGGCCATGTCTTCACCCGAGGACAAACCGCCGACTTGCTTTCAAGCAATGTATGTTAGACTTGGGGTGCTGAAATCAGTCTTCCAATCATGTGCTGAAAGCTCTTGCCAAGTGCAAACTCTTCCTTTCCAAGGCTTGGGCTGTATGGATGGCCCTTGGAGCCTGGATTGTCCGCCCTCAGTGAGAGAGTCGTCAATATCTGGAATCTGGATTAAGATCCCTCAAATCTGCCAAAGCATCACTTGGATGGGGCATAGAGTAGGGTGTCTCCAAAAAGACGCCTGGCCTAAACGACCACCCAGTGCTTGATCTATATACGAGGGCGAGATGCTGAGACGAAATACTGTAAGCTGCACTGGGCCTTGAAGAAGCACAACGAGACTGTCTGCCAATGGGGTTGAGATGGCACGTGAGCTGCAGAGGAACCAAGTGAATGCACGCATAGAGATGAGCAAAGAATGATGCGGCAGGTGACAAAAATAGCGAACTATATATTCTAGCATTATTCACAAAGCAACACTGAGATATCAGCTCCGCAGGCATGGTAAGCTACCAGAGCTCTGCTACTTTAATGATGACTTGCCTTTTCCAAGTCACCAGAATAAGCACCATCGCAAAGAACCCTATTCTATCAAAGCTTGGACCTACTATATACCAAATCGGCACACTTCTGGTTCGGGCATCTTCATTCCCCCAGCTGCTGATAGCACACGCCGCAACACTATGACAAGTCTGGATTGCATGTTCTAAAACGAACCCACTGTGCCGAAACGCGCACACACACTTATGATTTGGTGTACGGAACTGAATGCCACATGCCACACGCCAGCCTAGGAAACCCAAATCCTGAAAGGTCCAGGAAAGTCCTAAAGAGCCTGGGGGTCTTCAAGAGGAAGTGAGGCCAAAAACTCAAGGCGGGGTCGATCCGACATGGTGACAGCGTTCCGTGCGTGACTGCAGATGCATCAGACCTTTACGAAATCTTAAAATTCAAGCAGGTACACAGAGCTGATCAGGCTATGCTTCCAGCACGAGTGGATAGCTTCGTTGGGCGCAGTTTCCACTGTGCTCTGCACCCCCGTGCTGAAAATTCTAACGTCAAGTCAAATTCAAAAGAAACCCTGTGACTACAAGGGGCACACACACACGCCTCCCCGAGGGGAGGCGTAAAGCTAAGGTTAAGGCAATGTGCACGCGCGCGCGCGCAAGAGACAAAAGAATGAAGACATGACAGAAGGACGGGACGGGACAAAGGTGCGTGTGGTTGTGATGAAAGGGGAACCAAGTGCACAGGGACAAACAATGAAACCCACCTCATTATAAAGACCTGGGCCACCTAAAACCTGAGTTAAAAGTACATGTAGTTGTGCACGTACACGCTAAGGCCGGGACCAATGTGCGCGCAAACGAAAGAAAGGATGAGATGAAAGACATGAAGACAGGAGGACATGAAAGAAAAGAGGAGAACAGAGGTGTGTGAAGGGGAAAAGGATGAAAAGGGAACCAAATGGAGGGGACAAAAACCAATGAACCCAAACCTCATTGAAGAACCTAGGCAAGCCTCGTTGAACATGTACATGCTGTGTGTGCGCCTAAGCTCACGACAGACTCCAATGAGTCTGGACTCTAGACAAACTTGGGCCGCTACGGCCACGTACGCCCTGCCAAAATCCGCTGCGGTCACGTAAAGGCATGAGCCAGCTTGGAATGCAAGAATCCGGCAAATCTTGGCAAATAATTTTGGCCTAAGCCTCCTGCGCCCGCTCTGGGCACGTACATCTCCGGGCAGGGGAGATAAAGACAAACCCCCGTTCGACGGGTGCACAGGGGGCACTCTGCGGGCTCATCCCGGGCTCTCACTAGGAGAGGCAGACTTCTGATTTGGTGTACGGAACTGAATGCCACATGCCACACGCCAGCCTAGGAAACCCAAATCCTGAAAGGTCCAGGAAAGTCCTAAAGAGCCTGCAGGGGGTCTTCAAGAGGAAGTGAAGCCAAAAACTCAAGGTGGGGTCGATCCGACATGGTGACAGCGTTCCGTGCGTGACTGCAGATGCATCAGACCTTTACGAAATCTTAAAATCCAAGCAGGTACACGGAGCTGATCAGGCTATGCTTCCAGCGCAAGTGGATAGCTTCGTTGGGTGCAGTTTCGACTGTGCTCGGCACCCCCCTGCTGAAAATTCTAACGTCAAGTCAAATTCAAAAGAAACCCTGTGACTACAAGGGGCACACACACAAACTATGAGGCGTAGCGGCGTAGCTGACTTCAGTTTGTTGGACTCAGCCCCCGGGCGTCGGCACTGGCTCTGACACAAGCGGACCTGGGGCGCAAAGCTGTGTCAACATTCCTCTCAGCTCGCCCTTGCGCCAATTCATGATCATAGTACAGGGTAAAGGAATAGGGTAAAAAGCATGATCATTTACCTTTTATGTCTTACTATTCACATACAATGGTCATAGTACATCCAGACAAGGTATCACCCACTGATGCCTCGGCCAGGCAATAGTGCTGTTACAAACAAACACGTTGTAAGACTGGCAGTACCCAAACATGCTCCCTCGCATGCTCCCTCGCACGTAGTGCCACTGCTCTTTTTTCAATGCCTCTTCAAAGAAAACATGGTTTGGGTGTGAAAGCCTTCGGGTCGGGCAAGGAGAAAACTCCAGATATCTGACCGTCCAATTGGGAAAGTCCACATGAATCTCAGATACTGACCAATGCCACCAAAGGTCTCCCCTCAGCAGGCCAAGACGAAAAAAACAAGATGGAGCCCACGAACCCGAATGCAAACACGTTCGAAAAGCTACATATGTCCAAATGACACTCTTGTAAGACACTCTTGTGGGACACTCTTGTGGGACACTCTTGTGGGTCACCCTTGTAGGAAACTCTTGTGGGACACTCTTACGGGACACTCTTGGAGGACACTCTTGTGCGACACTCTAGTAGGAAACTCTTGTGGGACACTCTTGTGGGACACTCT